ATTAATTACTTAAGTATTTTATAATAGTATACTAGTAAAATTTATAAATTACTTATTATTTTACGTAAACTATAGGTTTAAACTAAATTTATATTAATTACTTATTAAAAAAGAAAATACTAATAAAGCTATTATTATAGTTAATAAACTTAAGGAACTATATTAAGAATTATAAATATAATTTAAATTTATTAAATAATAAATAGCTAAATTTATAAATATAAAAAAGATTAAAGAATTAACCTTTAAAAAGGGAGATATAGTTTACTTACTTTAATATTTATAAAATAATAAATAGCTAAATATTAAAATAAATAAGCTAAGTAATAAACTTAAATTTAAAAAAGTTAGATTTTATAAAGTTATAAAAAAAATTAAATTTATTAATTATAAAATAGATCTTCTACTTACCCTAAAGAAATAAAAAAAAACTATATATTTAAATTTTTATATTTTACTATTAGAAAAAGTATTAATAAATAAGAAAATAAGTAAAATTATATAAGATAAAATTATTATTTAAAGTAAAGAATTTAAATATAAAGTTAAGAAATTTAAAATAATAAAATTTAATAAAAATACTTAATAAATTAAATACTTAGTAAAATAAAAAGGGTATAATAAAATAAAAAACTTATAGTAAACTATTAAGGATTTTAAATATTTAAAAGATTTTATAAATAACTTTTACTAAAGTTTAGGTTTAGTAAAAAAAGGTTAAAAGCGCCTTAATTAATAATATTAACTATAAAACCTATAGTTATAGGATTAGTTAAATTAAGTAATAATATTATAGCTTAATAAGTAGCCTTTATCTTCTTATACTTAACCTTATTTAACTTATTTAAATTAATAATACTTTATATAATAGTATAATATATTTTTTTATATTAATGTTTTTTTTTTATAAAAATACTTAACTTTTATATTAATAATATAATATTCTTTTTTAGCTACTTTAAGCTTATTTTTTAAGTAAAAATAATAAATAGTAATATATTTTAACTACTTAGAAAATAAATTATAAATATTATAATAAAATTTATTTAATTAAATATATTTAGTATAATATTATAAGTTAAATAAAAATAAAAGATATTCTTTATAACTATATAATATATAATAGGAATAATACTTATTTATAGTAAAGGTGTTTTTAATTAAAAATTAAAAAAAAAACTCTTATATTTTTTACTCTTAGGATAAATATTTTTAAATACTTTATTTATTATTATTAAGTAAGTTAAAATATATAAAAAAAAATAAAGAATTAGTAGCTAAAAATATACTTTAAAGTAGGAATAAGCTACTTATACTTAAATAAATAAAGTCTTAGGGATAAAATTAATAAAAAAAGGATATTATATTATAACCTAGATTTTATAATTATAATAATAAACCTACTAGTTAATTAATTTTAAATAAAAGATAAATTAATAAATTAATTAAGAATAGATTATTAAATTATTATAATAATTTAATAATTTCTAAATAAATTATTAAAACTTTAAAATAATTTATAATAAAATTATTAAAACTTTAAAATAATTTATAATAAAATTATTATTACTTAGTAATAATTTAGCCTAGTTAACTAAGTATATAAGTTTACTTTATTTTATTTATTAAAATACTTAAATAGTTAGTTATTATTAATACTATAATATTTATAATATAATTAAATTAAAACCTAAATATTTTACTTTTATTTATATTATTAGCTAGTAACTAGTTTACTTATTTATTAACTTAACTACCTTACTAATATAAACTATAGAACTACTCTAAGGTCTATCCCTTAGAAATAGCTAACCTATAGTACCTATAGGACCCGGTTCGTTATATATAGTCTAAATCTTTATAGTTTAACTTAGTTAGCTGTGGTTAATTAGGTTGGGCTATGGATTGATTCTGGATTTTAAACTAAAGGCTAGGGCGTAGCCTTCCTTTAACCTAGCTATTACAGCTTTACTAACCCTCTTAATAATAAATATAACCTCTATAATAGAATATACTTTTCCTTAAATTAAACTATTATAAAAAGTATAAAGAAAAAGTACTTAAAATAACTAATAGTAAAAAAAAGTAATAAAATTTAATACTTTTATAATTATAATAATTTATATAAGTATTTTTAATACTTTAAAAAGTAATAAATTATAATACTTTTTATAAAATAATTAAATATATAAAATTTAATTCTTTATATTCTTTAAGTAATTTAAATAAATGATTATTAATAAAATATTAAAATTAAATATAAATTAAATCTTTATTATATTTTACTTATTTTATAATTATATTTACTTAAAACTACTTTTTATCTTTTTTATTAATATAAACTAATTAACCTTAGTTTATTACCTTAGGAACTTACTTTATATTACCTAGTATTAGGTCGAGATATTATAATACTTAATATATTAAATAAATAAATTAGTTATTTTAAATAGCAAAATATTAATTGCTTCCTTTGTATGGCCTTATTGAAGGAAGAATCCACTAGTTTCCCATTAACATAGTGACCTTGAGCAAGAACACCCTTGACACCATTTTCTTCGGCTCTTATTACCTTTGTAAGTTAAAAGATATCAGGTATTGGATTTTTTCTTCGTTAGATAAAATATATAGTGAATGTGGAAAGAGAAATAGCTGGTAAGAAAACTTCACTGTTGTTCAATATAGCCCTAGCGTAGCTGTATATTGCAGTCTCTCAAATCCCTTATTTTCCCCGATATGACCTTCTTCTCCAAGTAGATATACGACCAGCTTATAGGTCATGAGTTTTCATTAACTCTGCTTTGTACTGCGACTGCATCAGTGGGGCCTTTCACAGCTCCAGCGATTGCGCTATACACTGCCTCCCTCATGCTCTTGCAGTTTCAGATATCCAAACGCTGTTGCTAGGTGACATTCTTGTGAATATTGTCAATTCTTACTCCACTAGAGAAATGATATGATGGAAGCTACCTTTCATCGCAAATACTCAACTAAAAGCTGTAGGCTACGATGAAGTATGCTGGCATTAGAGGAAAATGTTGCTCGAAGCAAAAGCCACCCATCACTGTATGCGATGAGCACAACTCTCTGCTACTAGAATTAAACGAGAGCAGCACTTCCGTGTATAAATTTACAGTTATGAGAGGAATACTCAAGCCTTTCAATAACTTTGAGATTCTTCGCTAGATCAGCCAAAGACATTTGAGAAGGCGATCTTAAGAATAGATGCCACGGCAAACGGTTTGACTAACTATAATCTATATTCACTATGGGAGGTATAGTTCCATAACTGAGGATGACCCTTGTAGGTTTCAGCACAGATGGTGCACAAAAGGTATCGGCGTCTACATGAACAAGCACTTTCTGCATTTTCTTTATCCATGAACTGCTAGTGGGTAATGAACAAAAGAGTTGTTGAAAGCACAGCTTGTCAATTGAGCAAACGTCGCCCGAAAAGACTGGATTCAGATATTTCGGCGGGTCATCATTGTGTTTCTAAAGCTGAGGTCAAAAGGACGAAGTTCAACGAAACATAGCTCATAATTCAGAAAAATACTACAATAAGATGCTGCATCAAAACATGAGTTTTGGTTTACATAAGGAGAAGGGAATGGAGAAAAGGAAGTCAGAGAGAACTTTAAGCATGGCTCATAAACTGGCTCAGAGACATCCTTCAAGCCACTAGTCAGTGACTTCCTGACAAATCTGCAAAGTCCATCAGCAAACTAAACGCATGTATCTCTTGCGGGTTTTCATGGCGGCGGTGACAAGATACTAGAGTGAGGATAGTTGACGTATAAGTTGATCAAGGGTAAAATCGGGTTGAGGCTCCATTATTTATTGTATATAGTCTTCGATAGTTTGATTACTTTAAATACGAGGTCATAGAAGTTTCCCATCCAGATGTTTAGCTACATCAATTACTCGAGAGCATCTTTTGGGATTGCAACTCTAATAGTTACGCTTGGCCTCCAGTCACAAAAAAAAAAAAAAAAAAAGACTTCGCAAACTAGAACAGCTTTAAATAGATACAAACACATACAGCTAAAGCTACGATTCAAAGACGGGCTACACTAAACCATGAATCCAAGCTTGCAATAGGTTCGGCGGATGCTGCGTGGGGCTTTGTCTCGTGGACTTCGTGAGGCTCCAAGACAAGCCACTCAGCGCTCAGGTCTGTTTGAAAATACACGAACCAAGCTGGCACGAAAGCTAAGCCTTGCGATAGCCTCAAGCACATCGAAAGGCTAGCTTTATCCATGCGATGCGCTATGCTGTGGTTGACCGTTGGCCGGCTCTTCTGTGAAAGCCAACCCTTCAGTTACTTGCGCGTCTTCATGTTATTTGCTGCCAATAGACCCTCTGTGGCATCCATCTGAACTAGAATTGCCGTCTTCCCGAGCTCTGCCGCAAAAATTGTCTAATTCCGTCCTCACACATCGCCAAGGATGCCTCTAAACCGAACCTGTCAGCCACTGCATCGCAGGATTGGCAGCCGAGCAAGGATACGGGGGCCGTCTAGCACCATGGGGTAAGATTATGGTGGCACCAGGGCATCCTCGCGTTAGCTAACCTGTTCAGGTATATCAAGGGAGTTGTCTCTGCTTTCGTGACGAACGACATTTCAACAACCCGAATTGCACTTGGGCAGAAGGCAAAAGGTTCTCAATCGCAAAAGATTTCTTGACTTGGCATACGACTAACCGAGTGCAACAGTGGCGATGATGGCTTCTTCGTTCGCTCCACTCTCTGTCGAGCCCCAATCGCTAGTCTTGACAGCTAAGCCGCGTGGGCGTCGCAGCAGAGGTTGTATTACCTGCCGGCAGCGAAAGGTGAAATGCGGTAAGATGAGAACTTTCACTCTTTGGTTCATTGCCGTTTTGGGACCCTCATCTAATCTATTTACTTCTCGGCTTCAAAGATGAGAAACTTCCTCACTGTCTCCGATGCCTAAATAGCTCGCGCGAGTGCTTGGGATACGGGAATCCCCAACTCTTTATTAATCAAGTGCTGGCGACAACACCGTCCGCGAAGACGGAAGAGAAGGACATGAAAGTAGTTACTAAATTCTCCACCACTGGTGTAAATTTCCCCTTGACGCTATCCCCTGATATCGGAGGGCAAGATGTCGTCATCTCTCATCTGATAAACAAGTTCCCCATCGACTTTGCATGGAGGCTTCCACCAGGAGCAAAAAGCTCACCCTTATCTGCTATATTCACGAGTTTAAGCAGACGCGCGACCGCCTACGTCTCTGGAATATGTCTGGCCCAGGCGTTTTATGCGCGGGCCCACAAACGGCATGATCTTATGGCACATGCAACAATCCTGTATAGTCGCTCGTTACAGCATCTCCGCCAAGACTTGCAGGTATTAGACAGGAGTACATCTGCAGTATCCATGTACTCGAACTTGTGGAGTTCATTTCTTCTTTGCCTTTACGAGATCGTATCTGGTGTTAGCTCGGCCGGGTGGCTTGAACACTGTCATGGCATCACCGCTCTTGTATGTAGGCTGTCAGGATTGATTAAATCGGTCGATTTGCTATGGAGCTAACAAGCTATTCAAGATTCAAATGCTAGGGCCTCATGCCTTCCAGGAACTCGGCGCAAATCTCATGTTGGAGACATACCGAGGCTTAATTGTCGGCGTCCCACACTCTTTTCCTTCGTGGCGTTTTGATGGAGCTGACTCTTTTGTTTGTACAGATTGTGAATTTTCTCGTCAAACGAAAGCGCTGTTTTCTCGAGGCTCCTGATTGGAAGACGGTCCCCTGGACCATCAAGAGGAAGTCACTAGGTTCGCAGCTCCAGGATCTTTTCTGTGACGTCCCAGGGCTTATGGAGGAGGTGGACGAGATAATGCAACAGTCAGCATTGGGTCATGAAACTGACACCATGGAAGAGAACCTACGTGAGAAGGTGTCAATTCTGATGGAGCAAACATGGCAGTTCCGTTGGCAGTGGGAGGCTGCGAACGCTAATGCATGCAAGGAGGTAACATCCGCAGAATATGGCTCGAGCTCGTCAAGAGACCGGGGACCCTCGCCCTTTCCAACTGTTTTTCACTTTCAGAGCATGGATCGGGCTATTGACATTGCCTTTTTCAATACCATTCAACTTCTTCTCGACACCCTGTTGGATCCCCTGGGACCTAGGTCAACGCCGTTTTTGAGTCCATCACAACCACCAACGGGGCCCTTTACGAACCCTTTGCTTCTTCCGGGTCAAGGCAGCAGAGATGATCATGCTCTTGAAATCTGCCGAATTGTCGATTTTATGTCCCATTGCAAACATGATAGCCTGGGCATGTTTATGCTCATGTTTCCTTTGTATGTGGCACGCTCGTGCTTGGTTCAGCGTCCAGATGTTAGCGCTTGGATAACGAATATTTTAAGTACATTAGTTCGCGAGAAGGGATTTCATATTGGGGGACATTTGTCGAAAGAGGAGTGATGTTAATTTGATACTAGCAAAGAAAGATATCATGGATAGAATCGTTTTCACTATTTGCAATTTTGTAAAACAAATGTCTCGATAGGGAATTTGAGATAGGTAATCAATTTAATGAACGACGTTATGATCTATGGTATCTACAAAATTCAAGTCGTAAAACAAGCAAATGGAAAGGGAGATGGAAACAAAAACGCTCTAGTATAGTCAAGAATCAGATGTCTTTGCCCTTGGGGACAACCACAAGAAAGCCAATTCTTCTGAGGCTCCTCTCTTCTCTGTCCTTCTTTTGGTAATTCTTTTCTGCCTTCTCCTTCTCCTTCTCATATTTCTGCTGTGCCCTATATCGGCGCTCTTCAAGCCGTTCCAGATCTCTGTTTGCTCGGCGATCGTCGACATCAATGCCCTCCTTCTTCTCATTATATCGCTCCAAGGAATTTTCGTACTTCTCGAGCGCTTTCTGGGTCGCTTTGTCGTGTTTGTCGTTCACCTTGACTCTCTTTTTGAGCATAGACTTCTCTGCAGACTTTCGCTCCGCTTCGCTAATGTACACATCCACCTTGCTCAGGACGTTGGATGGATTAGCAACCGGCGGGAGCTCTTCGATGTCAAGAGGTGAGATCCATTGGTCGAGAGCCCTCAGGCGGCGTTCTTGTGCACTGATGGTCTTGAGCTCGTTGGCCTCCGCCAGGCTTTGGAGAGATTCTAGAATAGGCGACTTTTTGTTCACGTCTCCCTTTTCGTTCAAGATTGGCATGTTGGTGAGCTTGGCGATTGTCTTCAACTTGACAATCTGCACTTCCAGACCTCTAGGATTGAAGATTTCCTTGTTTGCCTGGCGAATGACAACCTCGGATCGAATCTTTGACATGGCATAAGTTCCAACCATGGCACTAAGACTAGCGGCCGTAGAAACAATTTGGGCAGTGGGTTCAGGCACGAATCCAACAATGTCTGAAGCAGCTCCGAGGAGGCGCAGCGGTGGGCTTTGGACAATGTTGCGGTTAAGCTGGTCTAAAAAGTCCAAAAACTCGACTTTTGAAATGTTCGAATTGGCCAATGCGGGCGGGTAGGCTCGTAAAAACGCAGATCCCACGTCTGCGTTTGTGGAGGGAATTGCGATGATTCTTTTGGCATTGCTGATGCTAGCCGAGCTTTCCAGAGTCAGGGCTTGCTGTTGCTTGACTAGGATGTCTTCGTATGGTGGCGGCTCAGAGTCCGAAGAGCTTCGTGCGTATGATGATCCCTCGAGCTCGGCAATGGTGGTTTCTCTGTAGGTCTCATATGGGAGATCCTGTTTAACATTGACAGTCGAGATATCCATGGTGTAAATGGCAAGTGTATAAAAACGGCAAGGTAGTATTGTAATCTAGTTCGTGTGGTATTAAGTGGACAGTGTTGTAGACCGATTGCACTTTGATGTTGATGCTGGATGCTGATAATGGTGATATTTGAAGAGAAAACAGTTAATGGTCTGGTCGAACCTCTCTCTTTAAATCCTTTAAACTCATTATCAATGCCCTTGCTCATGCTTTATTCTGACTCTACAAATAGATGCATAAAGTCTCCAACAGATCCTCTCAGCCTTGCGCGCACGACCCAAATGTGTAAACTTACTGCGAGTTGGTTCATTCCTTTCGGACACAGCGTTCGAGTAAGCTGTAGATCAGGGTGACACTAAACCCAAACTCGCTAGCTATGGCGAGATGAAGGGCAGACTTTCCATTAGTGCAAATCCTTGGGGCGAGACCTGCAACGCTAAGAAACAGGGGAAGCAGGGGTTTGTGTGGATGGGCGATTGCATTGCTGATGAAAAGAAGTTAGTGATTCGAGTTCCATTCTATCAATCAAGACCCGATGAGAATCATTCGAGTTTTGGTGACGGTAGTCGTTTGAGCTCTCCATTCGAGCTTTGATGGGGAAACCCTTTCGAGCGTCGATTCGAGCTTTTGCTGCTGGCTATCTCGGCACCTTCGTGACGACGCTTCTCATCTCAGAATAGCAGAACGTTGATGTAGGCGATGATGTGTTGCCACATGCCACGCGGCGCATTGTGACGCAAGACAATGCCCACGAGGAAATTGTAGCAACTACGAAAAGGGAAGCAATAAGAGCGATATGGGTTCTCTCTGCACTGGAGGGGCAGCGGTACCTATTTAAAGGCACGGGAACCTGCAAGAGTGAGTGCTTGTTGTATGAGTAATGCATGGAGTATCGGAACTACACCCTTTAAGATCTGGCTACGACTATGGCTGAGTGCTCTTGGCACGATCTCTTCAGTCTTTTCGATCGTTGAAAGACTTGGCACGAATCTCCTTATTAAGCATTAAGTAGCATTTTCTCCAAATTCTGTTAGTTTAACACTCAGCTTTTCGTTGCCGTTTGTCGTTATCGTCCAAATTTGTGAAGTGGCCGACTGCTGTGTGTCCCAATCAAGCACTCTTATATTAGTGAAATGATATGGGGGAGCCTAATAATCAAAATAGTGCTTGTGCCAATCGATACTTTGTTGGAATAATGGGAGATGTTCTGCTCTAGAAGAGTAAATCTTACCACCCTTTACACCAACATGAGCAAGTCGAAGACAAATTTAGCTTCTAGGCAATAAATATCAAGCATCACAGTCATGACAGCTAACTATTGGCCTGCATTTGGAAGCACTACGAGTACTGCCACATGTATGAGTTGATCTCGCAGTCCCTGTACCTAGTTGGCTTGTTCTAGGGTAAACACATGTACCTTGCGCTGAAGATCTACGGATTGCGGCAGTGTATGACGAGCGATGGTCGCGAAACCGTTTTGCTGGATAGTGATTACGCGGTAATACAGATTGCTTTATCTGAAACTCGGGCTCTAGTGATATAATATGAATGAAGTCATGCTGAATTTGTCATACAAGCTTACAGTTGTCCGCAATGAATCCGCACGATACATGTCTACATGTAGATGCCGAAGAGAGCAATAAGCCGCATAAGGCAAGAAGCGCTTTACCCTAATAGGAAAGCGCGCGTCCTCCGTTTCTATCATGAATCGTCTACTGTGGACGGAAGAGAATACCTCGGACTCTTAAAGTTTCTAAGCAACAAACTGTCTCTAAAATGTAATCCAACAAGGACTCTATTAATTTGTATTATTCTATACACTCTACCCTTTGAACGTTATCCCACTCAGCCATGCCTTCCCTAGCCTGCTGGACCTGCCGGCTCCGGAGAAAGAAATGCGACCGGACTCAGCCGATATGCCGGAGTTGCGCCAATCTGAACATCAGTTGTTGCTACAGCAAGGACCGTCCCGATTGGATGGATGGAGGAGAAAAACAGATGCAGATGACACAGGCTATCAGAGCCCAAGTGAAGCAAGGAACCTCAACTCGTCGTGGCAACGAGGCCACCATCCGGGTCTTTTCACTTCATGATGGCCAGCACCAACAGACTGAAACCACACCGGCGAGGCGCGAGACATCACAAGACAACTCCAGTGTAGATCAGACAAGCTCTAGCTCTCCTGCATCTACGCATGTAGTATCTCAGGAAGATACGAATGAGTTTCTCACCACCTTGTATCTCGATACTGTCTCACCAGCTATGTTCCCTCTCTACGAACCGGCGACTCTGTCCGGCGGTCGCTGCTGGGTACAGACGCAGTTAAAGTCAAACAAGGCAATCTATCACAGTGCGCTCAGTCTCAGCGCCCATTATTTCACCCTGTTGCTAGCCAAAGATGCGAACCACACTCTCCGCACTCCTTGCGAACAGCACGTGTGGGACACTTTGGCGATGCACATGGACTCGGCGATCCACGTCATCAAGCAAGACATGGATCGCTACCATAAAGAAAGTAGCCAATCGGACGTATTCTGCAAGCTCAATGTCTTGGGCGGCGTTACGCAGTACTTGATCTTTGCCACAGCCATGCCCCAGGATGCTGGTTGGAAGATGCATTTATCTGCGGCCCTGACATTGCTGGATGAAGTGTTTCAGTCACATGGAATGGAGAATGATGAATATTCCCTAGAACAAGTTTTGCAAGCCATGACTAAGCCCTCAATATTCGACGGCATCCATCTCGGCTTCCATGTATGGAACAAAGACCAAGCTGCCTTTCAGTTTTTCACCTCTTTTCTGCTGTACGTTGATATCATGGCTAGCATTCAGTTGGGAAAGCCCCCTAGGTTCCAGCACCATCACAGAGGCTTGATAGCTGGCTGTGAAGTGCCCATGGCTCTGGATGGCCAACCTCGATCACTTCTCGAAATTGAGTCTTACGTTGGCTGCCCAGGGTGGATTCTTACTATTCTCGGTGAGATTTGTACAATGGAAATTGCAAAGCATTTCGCTCGGCGTGAAGGTGTGGATTTTATGACGGATGCCAAAGCAGAGAATCATGAATTGATGAAGAGATTGCGACAAGGCATGACGGAAGTTGATGCCACCATCCAGTCAGAGTTTCTTACAACGCAGTTAGACACTATAAGACTGGGTGAGCAGCATCAAAAAACACAGGCTAAGAAACTCGCAGTCATAACGAAAGCTTGGCTGCATGCCACCATGATTTATCTGTCAGTGGTCGTTGATGGCTGGCAGCCAGGCAATGCCTTTAATCGCGGCAATGTGACCTCCATCTTGAACATCTTGGATATACTCTCGCCAAACCTTTCAATACGCAGCCTCATGTGGCCGGTTTGCGTATGCGGTTTCTTGGCTTCACAGGAGCAAGAAGAGATATTTCGGAACTTGGTATCCTCTTTGGGGCCATTGCAAGCCCTTGGCCCCGCAAGACAGGCCATACGGCTGATGGAAAAGGTATGGGAGCTTCGCCATCAAGTAGATGAAGAGACGTGGGGAATCCACGACTGCTTCCAGTTATCTGGATCCGATGTACTCTTCATTTAACAGCTTACTGAGCGTTGCAAGTTCAGCTTAGAAGCTTGTGAAGAGAAGCAAGTCATTTGTATGTTCCCTGCTAGGAATTGCGAGCTTTTATGTACGAAATCTAGGCAACCTGGTATCGCTTAAACTATTACACGCACATATACGCAATGATATGCTTTAATTGTCAGCGAATGAATCACAAACATGGAGTGATGCTATCCCCATATTTCCAAATTCGGAAAGCGCGCGCGCCTCATAGTGTTGACGACTGGTGATTTATACTATCGGCCATCAGTTGAGAACAGCGATATTAACGCCGATATTAGTAAAAGCTCGTTTTAACTTGAATGCTTTGAAATAGCTTTTCTTTTCAACTATTCACGCTGACAAACTGAGGACGCGATGTTTCCAGTGACTGTCATCGAAGATTACAAGTCTTTGTGTATATAACCGGTGGGTTGGAACTTTGAACAGAGCCATTTCACCAACTCATCCTCCTCAACTTTTGTTCTTCTTCAACTTTTAACTAAGCAACTCAAAGACGAAAAGATGTCTGTCGTCGCTGTAGCTGGCGGTACCGGCAATGTTGGCCGAACCATCGTTGAGACTCTTGCACAGTCATCCAAGCGCAAAGTCATCGTCCTAGCTCGCAGGGTACGCACATAGAACCAGTAGTTGGGATCAAGATGAACTGACGAAGAAACAAATTAAATAGGCTCAGACGGTCTTGGACGATGTGCCGACTTTCGCCGTTGACTATACCGATGTTGATGCAACCGCCAAACTCTTGAAGCAGCACAACGTGGAAGCAGTCATTTCCGCCATCCAAGTGACTGACGAGACTTCCTCTGCTGCCGAGATTAGCCTCATCAAAGCCGCAGAGCAGTCATCGACTGTCTCTCGATTCATTGCCAGCGGCTGGGGAGCACTCCCAAGCGAGGCGTAAGCTATCCTATCTGGCCAATCCTGTTTCTCACATTCTCACCAACAAGTCAGGTCTCCCACTGCAGCTTTCTCGAGAGCTTCGAACAATGCACTACGCAGCACCATGCTTGAATGGACGAGATTCTCAGTTGGCCTTTTCTTGGATTACTATGGAATGCCCGCCATCAAAACGCACTTGCCACCAATGTCGTTTGCTGTCGACATGAACAGCAAAAAGGCGGCTCTTCCAGGAACAGGAAATGAGCCGTTTGCCTTCATTTACTCTTACGATATGGCCAAATTTGTTTCCGCGTTCTTAGATGTGCCCAAGTGGGAGGAGATTACGTATATCTACGGAGAAAAGACAACCTGGAATGAGTTTATTAAGGTGGCCTCGGAGGTAACAGGTAAGACAAGCTATGCACACATCATTCACAACTTTTCTACAAGTCTTCGCAGCTAATGTTTAAAATGTACTCAGGTTCTGAATTCGAAGTATCGTATGATCACATTGAAAAACTGGCAAAGTTTGAAGTCACTGAACTTCCTTCGCACAAAGAAGAGTTGGCCAAGTCTCCTTTCCCAGAGCCTTTTGCTCGCCAATTGTTGGCAGTTCTCGGCCTCTGGGTCGTTGGAGGGCAGTTTGATATACCTGTTGACAAGGCACTCAACAAGAGTTTCCCGTCAATCAAGCCCATGGGGGTTCGAGAGACGCTCCTTGCTAGACAGAGTTCCTAATGCTATTGAGGCTCATTACACGGCATTGCTGGAGATTGCAGGCTATATAGTCCTCAGAATGTATTTGCTAGCTGAGATTGATATCAGTTCACTCATTGACGTGGAGATATAACAAGCCTAGATATTTAGCACTACAAAGAATCCGGTCATATTATTAATCTTTGCCTAGAACAAACGAGTATTAAATTTTCCTCCTGCCATATATCCAACATAGAAAAAAAAAGGTGGCGCGACAAATGCAAGCCAAGATACACAACAGCTAGTTGTATCGATTGACAAATTTAATGACCTTGCGGCCAGTAGTGCTCCTCACAAATCCATCCAACTCATTGACAAAAGTCGTCTTGAATCGATAGTCGTTTGTCTTTATGACATGGAGAAATCCCTTGATACGAGCAATGAGAGCATCAAGTGAAAGGACCCGCGAAGTCCGCGGAGAGCACATCAATCGGATCTCTAAGAACGACTCCAAAGATGGCTCCAGTTTATCCAGAATGATCTGCCATTGTAAGATGCCGCACTCTTCGTTGTTCAACAAAGCTGCCATATCTTCAAACTGGATGTATTCCCCATCCCAGTCGAAGCTGACTCGCCTGTCGCGGCCTTGGAGGCGAAGAATCCGGAGATAGGGCCAATCAGCCGCGGGAATCTTGTCTCGAGCTTCTTCGGGTAGGGGATGGACAGATCCAATATCACCAGTGACGTATCGCACCAGTGGGTTGCGCAGACGAGAAAGAGACGTCTGAACCACCACGCCAGTCTCTCCATCGGGGAGAGGATCAACATTCTTGTCACCTTCAGCAAATGAAGCTGGTAAGACCTCGAGCAGCATGGCTCGTGTGTCGAAGATAAGATCCTCTACACTTGTGGTGCTCTCTTTTCCAACGATATCGGGGCTACTAGCTGCCCATGGCCCTGCCTCTGCGCTGCCCAGGACAGAGATGATCTTGACACCCTTCAGGGTCGCTTTTATGTGCGCTCTCTGCGCAGCGGTAAGCACCTCAGACGTATAGATGAGCTTGTCAAGCCTGATCAGAGCGCGCTCCTCCTCGGGGAGGGTCGAGATGTGGTGTACCATCTGGACAATCTGACCACTATCACCAGCGAGAACGTTGATGTGGTATTTTGCCAAGAGTTTAGCAACATCTTTGGGGGGCATAAAATTGCCAGCGCTGAGAACCGAGGCACCAGCATTCTCCATGATTTCAAGCATGAGATCCAGGGACCTATTGTCCAAGTCAGCATCGGTTGTTCTATACTACTCCGTTGAGCGACTAACCTGTAAAGTTCTCCTGCACAATGGGTCGTCAATGCCCAGTCTCCGGGCTTGATGGCTCCAATGGTTTTGAGAAACTGGCCGAAATGGGCCCTGTGCTTGCGGTTCTCGTATACATCTGTGCCAAAGAACAATGGCTTCGAACCAAAACCCCCACCAGTGATGCTCGCATAGACGCTCTGACGATATGTGTTGTTGGGGTCTGTGTCATTGATGAGCCGTTGAATGGTGTCGTACCTACGTGTAGTTTATGGTCAGAGGAATGATCTAATTACTTATACACAGCTTTCGGCGTCTTCTCTTTCACTTACAGGTCCTTCTTCCAGATAACGGGCCATTTCTTTAGATCTTCATTTGCCTGCTCTTGCTCTGCGGCTACTCTCTCTCTTACTGATTGAACAGTCTTTTCGTCGGGAGGATACTGTATCTCCTCTACATAAAAAGGGTGGATTTTGGCAACGGCCAATACCTCGCCTAACGAATGTGGCTGAAACTCCATAGCTAGAATTCAAGCTGAAATGACGTTATTGTGTCATTTAATTAAAGAGAGGAAGTTGATTAGAGTAAATCGTACGTTGTTCAGAAGCCAGCCGTAGAAATACTACGCGGGCCACAGCCCGAAAATCGTCGCTCTGCTCACATGCCAGAGCTCTTGTTACGTTACTGTGCGGCGCTCACTGTATTCATTTCAGTTCCATCCGTACGCCTCACGTCGAGATCCGCGCTCTATTAGTCGAACGACAAAGCAGCAAGCAACAATAATTGCTTTTCGGTGGGTTTTAGGCAGCCAAGGTGGAAAAGCTGCGCTGATGACCGGCCTAGTTTCACCCTGAGACATGCATGCAAAGCACACGTAATTTTCCCTTGCAGCAGATGGCCAAGAAAAGGCAGCGAAAAGGCACAATTCTCGGAGTTAGAAAAAAACGAGGCGAACAGATGCCCTGTAAGATCGACCACTGGGGACCGCATGCAGCTAGCTAGACCACGTCAGAAGCTGATGGATCTCATCTCGTCTTTCTGGGGCTTGTCGCTGTGTCTACAAGATTGAACATGGAAGTGTCACTGAGAGATAGTGTTTCATTTTTGACCGCCATTATTACTACTGCTACTATAACTGAACCGACGGTAGCATTTATGTAGATACGAAAGACTGACTTGATTCACATATTGTGCTGTAAATGTAAATTGTAAGCACGAAGCTGGGTGCGATGGGGTCGCTCGGCAAATATCATGACCCCTGCAAGATTGGGATTCAGCTGCGTTCAGCCCAGCCACCCGTCATGCGTGTGGTGTACAGACGACAGGCCAATGGAAGCAGACCAGGGGGAAAGAATGGTTATGATTTCATTACAGTTAATTTCTAGGAATGTTACACACACTCAAAAGTGCATATAGTGGTGCAACAGCAATAACCCTAGCTGCTGCTGTCAAACCAAATATTACCGTTGAGGTTACATACGGACAGGATACCCTAAGTACATGTTCGTGTATCTATCGTATGTTACATATTACAAGCAATTTCATGTGCTTTCACAGCAGGCCAATAGTATCGTATCCGCGAACTATTGAAGCCACTCTCGACAAACTGCCCGGCCAGAGTAGGGCCATCCCGTGTCTCACATCAATACACCAACCCATTACCTCCGCATATCCGCACTCCATCCTCCGATACCCCTGGCTACTTTTCCAAATCTTGTTCGGGTTGCTCATATGCCGAGCATCTAGTAAACTGTAAAGGGCACGGCGTCCCACCTCACCCGACGCAGATGCCGCTCCGGATCCTTGACGTGGTTCCGCGCGTGCAGCCACCGCCTGTTGTCGATGAGGATGATGGACCGCTCTGGAAGAGCCTTTGCAGTAAGGTGCAAGGTCGAGTGGCTTCTCGCTTCGGCGCCCTGCAGAGCTTGTTTCAGCTCTTTGAGCGCGGCAGACGCTCGCTCGTTCAGGGGTGTCAGGAGATCTTCCCGGAAGCGCATCATGCTGAGCCGGCCCTCGTCGTCGGCCATTAGGATGCTCCCCACGATGTGCTGGTGGTCGGGATGCTTGACAAATTCCGGCGGCGTCCGGATGAGGAACTCTGGCCTGGCGAGAGACTCCCTGGCAGCGGATGAGAGCAGCTCGCTAAGGCGCTCCACGTTCATCACAGAGAGCGTTCCGCCACCGCAGCGATCAGGCTGGAGCACCTGCAGGGCAAAGTAGCGTGGTGGAGGATCCTCGTAGCTGCAGTCCGTGTGCCAGGGGAAGTCTTCCATTGTCTCTGAGCGAGCTTGGCAGTTGGCCGTTTGGAAGCTGGTCGAAGATGGGAGAACGTCCCAGAACCAGCCGCGGGTGGCGCTGTGAGCAATGGGGAGCTGGTGGCCGTGGTTCTGATGCAGGCTCCGGAGCAGCTGCTCGAGATATCGGCTCTTGCGGTCTGCAAAGCCCAGGCTGACCTTGAGGATGCCCTTCTGGCGGAGCTTCTCACTCACACTGCGGACGTGACCAGGTTCCTGGGCGCAGCGAAGATCTGGTGCGTCCAGGATCGGGACTGTCTGTGAGATTTCGGCCGATAGAGGAGGATGGCGGGTTTCATGGAGAGGAGGATGACTGGTTTCATGGACGGCAGCCCGAGAGTGTCGTGGATATTGCTGGCGGATCGAACCTTGTATCCGATGAGCAGTGAGGATATTCAGCGCAACGCGGCGATACATGATGGGCAAAGATTAGGTTGTTCAGTCAATAACGACTTCGTTCTGGTGATACTATGTGTGGAAGAGTGGCGACGGATAAGGGCACTGAGTTGCGTTTTCTCCTGCAGACTGCGGATGGACACGATCCATCTTCCACCGACGCAAAGGGTTATTTATCTTGTCAATTCTACTGCTACTAGCACAAACAAGTATGCACACGTCGTAATGTACGAGTACGAGCTACTACATGCCAGGTGTCATGGCATCGTGTGTACTCAAGCCCCCCTGTCAAGCTGGGCAAACAGAGACGCTACCATTTCCAAGGAAATTGCCGCCGTCATCAAATTAGATCTATGAGTACAGGTATACTCACACATGTGTGGATATAGGCTTAAGAAACAAGGTGTTGAACCCCAGTAAATAATAGTAATAATAATACGATACTAATAGGAACCCTCTGAGACACTCTCGCCCGCCGCAACCACATCCTTGTGTATCACGGAACAAAGCCAAGCTCCACCGTGACTGATGGCACAGATCCGATCATCACTACTCCGCCAGAGTGCAAGCCCGAGCAGGCCTCCGTGGATGACCATGAACGTGCCGATCAAGGGGTACATCACCCTCTCTCCCGAGGCCTTCAGTATCACGCCATACAGGCGAGGGATAATCCGACGCTGTATCACACAACATCTGTCTAGCTCGAGATTTGGGGACAGCTGAAGCTTTAGTGCCGCCATCCACTCCTCGTCGGTGATATCATCGCCAAACCTGATGCCATCGCCCTTTCCGCTGCGAATGGGCTTCAAGATGTAACCATTGCGAACTTCTGGATGTGCCTCTGAGTGAACCAAGAGTTGTCTAAGCTCATTCGACCCTGGGAGATATGTATCGGCAATACTCCTGTCGAGGATCATAGCCTGCCTCTTCGTGATGATCCCTAGAAACGCTTGCTTCGGGAGTTCCTGCTTAATGATGCCCAGCATTCGCTTGTCATGAACCAACAAAATGGTCCTCATGTCGTTGAAGCAACGCAAGCTAATCTCACGCAACATCTCGGGGTTCATGGCAAGCAGCTCACGCTGATGCAGCTCCAGCCCTACCTGATAGACCTCCTCCACTAGCTCTCCGTCACTGGTGAAGGAGAAGGACGACACGTCGGGCGTGGCATTGCCTCGCTCGGGCTTCTTGACGACGGCACAGAGCTTATACCCGGACTTGCTTCTGCGGTCTGATACCAGCCTCAAGTCTGCAGAACTAATGATTCGTGGAGCGTAGCCCATGCGACGTTTGAAAGCGTCGACGAACATGTGAATGTCCATTCCAGCCTCCTGGCCTTTGAGAAGATGGACTGGGCGATCCCGCCGGAACAGAGTGAATAGCTTATCAACAATCTACAATCCGCATTAGAGAGAAATCTGGCAACTTCATGAGTCATTTCGGTCATACCTCTTTTGGTTGTGCAGCGCTGACGAGTCCGTGACTCCCCATGCCTGTATCTTCTAAGGCCATGTGTCCATACGTCGCGTGCATAAACCCATTAAACGAGAACCGAGCATTGATCTCGGTAATCCGAAAGTTTTCTACCGCGACTCCATCTCGGGCCTTGATTTCTTCGACCATGAAGTCGGGCCTCCACGAGCCTCTGCATGCTTCATAATCCGGCAATCTGCCAATTATGGACTGTAGTCCTACGTACTATGTTCATGTACATGTCAGTTGTTGTTGACAACTAGAGAATTCAGCAGTCACTTACTTTCAAGAGATCCTGTTCCTTCTCCCCAAGAGGCATTCGCTTGGGAAGCTGGGCGTCAGCATCAAGCCACCAGCGGCTCACGATATCAGTAACCGAGGTCACCAACGCATCGCTGAGCTCCCGTAACACTGATTGATGATGGCCGTTGATGAGGATGGGTCGAGGGCAATAAGCCTTGTAGGACTCAGCAGGCCAGAGGGGAGGGGGGCAGAGCCGCATGAGCTTGGCTTTGATCGTCTCATGCTCCCATTTGTAAAAGGTTTCATCGGCATCTGCGGTTAAAGCATCTTCATATCCATTGGGGCCGCGTCCAACATGGATTTGCTTGAGAGGCTCGGGATATTGAAGATAATTCATCTTGAAAGTACTACTCGTATATCTGCTACGAATAGAGGCAACTAGTAATGTGTGAGATATGAAAAGAATCACTGAATCAATCTCTACTATTATGGCTTAAATATTCTCCTCGCCGAGCTTACCAAAAATGTTCCACGATCCATGTCATCATGCAAGGCCACTCCCAAGCACCACGTATTCCATCTGACAAGGCCAGATCGCCAGCCGCAATCTCTCGATCGTTCAGCTCCACGTAGATCAGATCATCCACCCATCCCCGTCGTAAACAAATACGACGCCATTTCAAATAGTCCACCGGCTAACAGCGCCAGGGGGCCACTCGGTTCCGGACGCCATTGTATTTCCCATTCGGCCAATGCCCGCGCCGAGACTTGGGTCATCTACCCCCTTGCATATTAAAGTCTGAGACACGCCCGCCAATGACCAGCTTCGGGGAAGACACCGCAAGCCACCGGCTCTGCCGCCTCGACGGTGATGGCACTTACAAGCGAAAGAAAGTGGGGAGGAACAGGTGGCTGGCTTAGAACCAATGGATGTATACAAAAAGGAAATCCAAGACATGAGGCTTTCGAGATATTACTCAGAAGCGGCCACCCCCACGTAATACTGGCTAGCCTGCATCGGCCCGGTCCTAGCTAGCTGTCTCGAGCTCAAGAGGCAAGGAAGTGTCAATAATGGGCTTCATCCACGGTGTACTTGGGCCTCTGCTCTGCATAGACACACGGACATTTATTTATGCACTTAATGATATGCTTAATGGCGGCAGTAGTAATGCTACCCTAAGATGAAGATCGATCTGATGCTACCAAAGACGGACGTAATCGTTGATAGTTAGGCATTATGCTAAGAACCCTAAATAGAGAAGAGCAGGAATATTCGTAGACTACCACAATGGAGAAAAGACTGTCTTGATAGCCTCTCTTTCAATCAAACAAGCCCCAACCGTCAGGATCCTCAATAATTCTCTTCAAATGCGCCGCCAAATTCCGGAAATTCTCCACGCTGCTTCTGCTCGCCTTCATCACCAGCTCCTCAGCCCGCTTCAAAACATCATCTTCGGGTGCCATACTGCCTTTTTGCTTAAAAATCCAGCTCGAGTCCAACATCATCATCGCCAGCTCCACGCGAAGATGGTCCACCAACGTCACGCTGTTCGGGTCGTCAAGCGCAGGCGTCGATCCAATCATGACTGCTATCAAAGCCTTGGGCTTAGCATTCCCCAACTCCCTCTGAAGTGCATTGTATCTGTTCTGATATGGAACTCCGCTGGCCACAATGTCATGTAGAAGCTCTACAGCCTTCTTCGCGTATTTGGCCGCATTCTCTTTAACCTCATCTGGCTGCGAGGCTGGAAGGGACAAATTCAGCATTTTGATCTTGAGCGACAGCGTATCTGGAAGGACTGCTGGCTTTCGATTCTGGTCAGCTTGCCACTCCGGGGTTCGAAGGCTATCGATCCGATCCAGAATCCGCCCCCGAACAGGATTGTCGCGAGTAGCAGTCAATGTATCGCCCACGAATGCATCAAACTTGTTCAAGTTCCCTTGCATGATGATAATATTTGCGATCTCGAAGAGAAATGCCTCAAGCGATTGATGAGAGTCTCCTTGTTGGGTCTTTTCATCGTTCGTCTTCTTCTCCAATTCCGTAAGATGGATGCGAATGGTCTCAAGGAGACTTTTTGTCAATCTGTCATAATAATCATCGTTCCATAGATAGCACCAATGTCGGCCCGAGTTAGAGCTGACCAGCTTCCGGTCGGTTCTCACAGCGGCGGTTATAGCAGACATCCAGTCAGGAAGATTCATTCTAAGCAATAGATACTGCTTTGCTACATCAAGATACTTGGCTGAGATGTCGTTTTTCATCACTATGCTGAGAAGGGTTTCCAGCGCAGTCGGAAACATGGGTATGGCGGGAAGCTGGGCATCATCAGGCATGGTGAAGCCATGTTTCTTGATGAATAGTTTCATCCACCGTTGGTGGTTCTCCGCCGAAGCATCCATAATGGTGTAAATAAGCTTCTTGTACGCTCGGTCTTCTTCTGACTGCCAATCCTGCCGGAATCCTAGGTTTAAGATGAGATTCATGATCGTGGGAGTCGTCAATGTTCCATCACTAGATTTCCATATTTCAGGTAGCTCCTCATCAGATGTCAAAGCATCCCAGTCTGTCAACGGCTGTGATTCGTTGATTGAAGACGCGATAGGCGCAGCATACTGGAGTAACGCATCAAATATGCGCTTCTTCACCTTAGAATCCGTAGTGTTGGCTATGGCCTCCGTCAATCCCTTGGCAGCAGCGGTCCGGATATCAACGTGACTTGCTCTCTTGAGAATCTTGATGTTTAATTCCACCGCAAGACCCGGGTCGACAACAGGAGATTCTCTCAGAAGCTGGGCCAGCATCTTGACAGTGGTGACTTTGACAAGCGGCCCCTTATTCTCAGATTCGTCATCAGGCTTCTGCTTCGCACGCCTCTCTGCCTGCTCTTGGAGCTTGTCCAAGATGGCATCCGTAAAAGTCTCGAAGAAATGCTTCGCATCGGCAGGGCGGAAATGAATAAGAGCCTTTGGGTTAAGAAGCGGCCTATGCCATGAGCTTGCATCCGGGTTCTCCAAGACAAATTGCTGGATCAAAGGTATCGCCATCGAGGGGCTGGCCCCTTCCAAGAGCCTATTGATTATATATACCAACGTACCAAACGGTTTATCTGTTTCCGGCCCTTTCCTTATACTCTCAAGAACCGAAGCCCCCAGCTGAGCAAAGAGGCTAGCTGGCACATAATACTTGAAATGATCAATCATGAGAGCAAATCCAGGCACGTACGTGTCGACTTCTCTCTCTAGAAACTCTTCATCAAGATATACAGCCGGAATGCGCACCGCCCCTGAGCTGTGGAACGGCTTCTTTAACAGTGAGATGTCCGAGCCTTTCTTCATATTGAGAGCCAAGATTGCCGCAACCACATAAACATCCACATACTTGCAGGTGAGCTTTGAATACGTGGTAGAGAACGAGTCCCAGAAGGACAAAGGGCGAGGCTTTTTAGGAATGACGCATTTCACTTTCCCAAATTCAGAATCCTCAGTCGAGATGAATTTCGATAGGTGGCCAATCCTTGACCGACTTAACAAGACATCCAAGCACGTTGGCGTAAGCGTCTTGTTCTTTTCAGTCAGAGAAATGCGTTCATACTCAGGGTCGGGATTCCATTCAATGGGCTGCATATCCTCATCCACATCGGGAAGAGATGGTTCACATCGTTCATCCGCCTTTTCATCAATCCCAACTTCATCCTTCTTGACAAAGACACTCTCAAAAACGGGCCACCAAAACCTCTCGGCCTCTTCTGGGGACATGCGGTCCTTGCTCAGGTTGACGGTAGCATGGCGCCAGGCCCTCGAGATGCGTTCTTTCCGCTGCTCTTCCTTGGAGAGCTTGCCCGGCATCTGAATGTACTGCTGCAGAGCCGCGGCCCAGCTATCTATAAACGTCCCAATGGCCAGCTGCGTTTCTTCATCAATCTGGATGGGCTGCAAACCCTTGAGAGGGTTCATAAACACGATAGCTTCGATCCGCGACTGCGCATACGGCAGGTATGGCAGAGCTGACCCAAAATTGTGGTCCAAGTGTTGGATAGTCAGTCCTTTAGGCCAAATCTCATCAGCCGTGACCAAAGCCGGCGTTTGCCGGAGGCGAAATTCTCTCCAGGTTGAATCATAATACCTGGCCAGTTGATCAAGAAACCTAATGGTAGGTTCGCGCAGAGATTCGGGCTCTTTCACATGGAAGCATGAGAGGCTGGAATAGGCTCTGTGATCAAATTTAACTTCGCCCGCAGGACCAAGAATATGTTGATGTGGCAACATCTTTTCCAGCATGGTGAATGTTGGCTTCCATAAAGCTTCATACACCGCGTCATCTGATATCTTGGTCCGTTCCTGAAAGTCATTCACATGGGCTATGCGTTTGCAAATCACTCGATTGATCAACTCAAACGCATACCCCCAATCGCTCCAGCCGCGAAAGCTAGGTTCATTGACGCCCATCATAGCCGTGTCAAAGACAATCTGCAAGATGTCATTCGCAGCTTGTATCTTTTGGCTGAGCTCTTCGATGTGGACCAGTGTAGTTCCTTTGGCGGGCAGAACAGCCACAAGGTCAGTCAGTTCTCTCGTCCTCAGTGAATATCCGCCGTAGATCTCCTGAACCGTCAATGGATCCTTGTTAAACCGTCTTGCCCAGCGAAGTGTTTCTCCATAGAGCTCAAGATCTCCAATCGCGACGCAGAGCTCCAACGCAGCCACAGCCCATTTCGATCTTATTTCGGGCAAGCGACCTTGAGTGGCCTTTTTCATCCTCCTAGGAACCTCTTGACGAAGATCAGACCGCATAGCATCCAATTCTGCTGCTGTAAATGGAGTAGTGGCCTGGCTCTGACGCAACAAATAGGCTCGAATAATGAGGTAGTCCGCCATATCAAAGTCGTCTTGGTCCCGACAACCATAAATTGACTCAGGAGTCGAATATCTTTCCCAAAACCCAACATCTTTTCCGGCTCTTTGTACTTTCTCCCAGAAGGTGAAGGCTTCGTCTGCCGGCAAGAGGGAGAATAGCTCAGGATGCCAACGGATCGATGACTTCTCAAGCCCCGAGTGGTCCAAATCAAGAGGCTCTCCAATATCAAACTGAAATCCTGCCGTGTGCTTCAAGAACAAACGTAAAAGCTGATATCTTCGTGTCTGTGCGACGTTCTTTATGAGATCTACCAGTGAGTATCTCTTCAGAACAGTCTCAGGGATAAGGGGAAACAGCTCTGTCAACATCTCAGTGTACTCAGTTCGCCCGCGCGATTCATTCCACACTTTGACCAAACGAGCAAGGATCCGTTTATAGTGATCGCTCGAGTTCCGAAACTCTTTGTGAAATGGCTGGCGCTCTTTCAAGCACAGCATAACTCGACCCCAGAAGCCCATCGTGGTGTCACTTGCGATCCTTCGTCTTGACAAAAATCGTTTGCTCAGCGGATATATTACCGCCTCAAGAAGGGCATCTGGAGTTGCTCCAAGAAGTGTTTCGCTATCTATGAATCTGTCCAGAACATCCAGGCCGTACTGGGTGCGGTAGATGACCAGAACCTTCACTGCAGTTAGGAAGTCGGACGCTTTGATTTCGTTGCGTCGCAGCTTTTCGTCGTAGTACTGCTCAAAGAACTCGTGGTCCGTCTCAACAGCTATATCGTAGTTATTGGGGAGCTGCCGCTTCATCTCCTTCCACTGTAATCTGAAAGCGCCACCGCAAGCTGGCAGAATCTTGACATATTCATCGCGCAGGGGACGGCTATCCAGCGCAGCACTCTCATTTCCATCGAGTCCCCAGAGCAGAGTCAGAAGCTCTTCCATTGCCCTCTGGCGTTCTTTGCGGGCACCTTGTGCACGGCCACTGATTCCAAGCCATTTGACGAGGGAGCGCACGCCGCTGACACTGAGCTTCGCCATCAGCTGAGCGACTCCCGTCGCGCCGCCAGCGGCTTCCCATGTCTTTGCAAACGTCTTTTCTTTGCATAGAAGGCGATAGAATCGTGTGATGGCAGCTTGTTGGACATTGAGGCAGTGCTCCTGTCGAATTACTGCTATAGTCGTCTGAGGCTCCTTGGAGGCAGAGGGCCATAAAGAGAGGGTAATGGACGGAAGAGAGTCTGAAGCAACGAGCGCGATGAGCTGAGGGGTGATGGATGACTCCGCGTCTGGATTGTTTTTGACAAGATTGCGCAGGTAAGTTGCCTGGCCTCGAGGTGTAGAGCCTCGAAGCAGGTCCAGATCGAGCACCACTTTATTCACCATGGCCACAGAGCAATTGTGTGTTGATAACGGTTGAAGATTGGCTCACAAAACAGACGATGGTGACGACGCTGGAAGTTATTATATCCTCAACGACAAGGCACATATCATTTTCAACCGACTCATTCAACCCAATGCCAAGCCCTAGAGACAATATAATTCCCTTTTTTTTCTAATGCAACCTCGTAAGGCTGATTTTCAGTCATCGCTGTTTGAGTCAGACTGGAGCCACCTTTTTGTACGGGCGTTGGTCGCTTATACGAGCTAGCCATTATCATATAAAACAACCCCGCATCCCGGAGATCTAGACTCTGCATCCAATGAGTTGAGATGTCAATGACATGGGAGTCGTTAATTGTCAATACGAGACAAAATTAGGCAGCCAATCAAGGAATGAGTCACGCTGCCAAATCTGTAGTGGAAGAGATGCAGATGGACAGCTTCACGTTGGTTTGAGACGTCAGTTGGGATCTTGGCGCACAGCTCACAAGAGAATATACTCAAAGCAATCAATTTCTATCATGCAAACGCAGCTTCAGATGGCCATAAACGACCCCTTTACTTATTCAACATATTGATTGTACAAGCTACGTGTACATGTATCTACAGTTGCAAACGCCAAACAACACAACACCACTCTTCCCATCTTGAAACCATGAAGTCATTACCGTAACACAAACCAATCCAACAAAAACTCCAATGTAAAAAACACTCCCAGCCCATCACAACTTCGCCTCAGCAATCCCCTTATACTTCTTCAACAGCCTCCCCACCGCCGCCCTCGGACTCCCCCCATCCACAAACCCAAGAAACGGGTTCCCAACTTTATACCCAAGCATGTCCACCAGCCTCTCCGGAATGTCATCCAGCTTCTCCCAGTCCACCGCCAGGATCTGATTCTCCATCGGCCGGATCCACGGCTGGCAGTACTGCGCCGTCAACGCCAATCTGCTCCCATCGCTCGTATTCGCACCACCGCCGTGCCATAACGTGCTGAGGAAGAACAGCATGCTGCCGGCCGGCATGATGACGGGAATCGTTTCCTCGGCTGAAGGCACGCGGTGAGAATCCCAAAGATGCGAATCGGGGACAATGACCGTTGCGCCATTGTTAGCTGTATAGTCATCCAGCGCAATCATGACGCCCTACTCTTATAAGTCAGCCCTTGCCTCCATCTCTCTTCCACTTTCTTCTTCAACCCTTCATGAAAAACAACAAAAATGGACAAATTTATATAAGTCACTCACCGTCCCAACCGGCTTATGAGGCCTCTCCATCGTCACATACCCATGATCATAATGCAACGTCTGCGCACTCTCCCCCGGCAAGATATTTATACTCTGAAACGAATTAATCAAATACCCAGGATCCAAAAAGTAATCATTCAGCGCAAGCACATCCCCATGCAGCGCAAAGCCGTCAAACACGCGCGACTTGTTCGCCAGCGCGTACAGCCGCTGCGTCTTGTACCCTTCAAACGTGTTCCGGCCCTTTTCCCCCGCCGGCCCGACCATCTCGGGATCCGCCGTCAGCCGCGCGACTTCAGCTTTCGCCTCAGCGACTATCGAGGGGGGGAAGGCGTTGGGGATGATGGCGTAGCCGTGATCGTTGATTTGATGGATGAGCTGCTGGATGCGAGCGTCAGGGGTCTTTGAGAGTGTCGCCTGGCTGAGTCGCGCTGCGGAACCGACTTCATTAGGGACGGTGCCCCCCGCAAGAGGCTGTTTATTGCTCATTGATTTACACGATATAGCAAGTTCAAAAGAAAAATGACAGATGAAACCAGAATAGCGGTATAGTATTGACCAGATAAATGGCCGGCCTACACCATCAACCCCATCCTCAACTCCAAGACCTCGGGCTCGTATATATACATACTCCATACTGTCATTTATATATAATCATTATACGAGCAATACAACTCTATCGAAATACCATGACACACCAGCGCTCCATACGGAGAACAAAAGCAGATACCAGTGGGTCTAAAGCAAGGTCATCCTGCCAGCCAAGCCGAATCCAGAACCACGATAACCTATTCCGTACCACAAGCCCTTGCGCAAAAGGATAAGCGATGCGTAATCAAACTGTATCCCAACCCACCAGTCTAGCCAAATCCTCGGTAAAAAAGCATCGCGCGTGGTTCAAAGAAGGGAGAAGCTGGCCGATCTGGGGGTCCGTTCGACATGAGCTCGAGATCGGGGGCTAAGCTGAATATCCACTCGTGAAGGAACGGTAAAGGCTCTTGGCTATCTATTCGACTGTCCTATTGGCCCCTAGACGAAGACACATGACACCACATCAGTAGAGCCAGCCATTAACAGTTAGTCTCATGCATATTATCCATACATTCAACGTCTAGCTTCGGTGATGCTTAGTGTCCTACCGCGATGTTAATCATTCACAGATGTAGCAAAGCTAAATTGGAATATATTCAATATATGCATTCGCTTTATTTAGCTAGTTTGTATATGTAAACAGAACAGGGCTTTGTACACTTTTTTTTGCCCCAGAAGCTATAGATATTAATTTATATACAAGAAGGCTCGATATTCCACGCTCTCCGTGCCACTTTGTCCATTGTCCAAGCTTAGTTGGAGCAGACGCCGTTCTTGCAAGAGTAAGGATCAGAGCAGTCGTCGTCGTTGCCGCAAGAAGCACCGAGACAGTGACCCTCCCAAGAGCAGGTGGCGGGAGGAGGAGTAGAGCCAGCAGTGCCGCAAACACCGCTGTTGCAGGTAAGGGAGTCAGAGCAGTCATCGTCAGAGCCGCAAGAAGCACCGGCGCAGTGACCGGCCCAAGAGCAGGTTCCACTGCCACCGCTGGGAGTGCTGCTCTGGGTGGGGGGAGGAGTGGTGCCGCTGCCGGAAGAGATGCCAGCCTTGATGGTCTTCTGGTAGTTGCCGTTCTTGACAGCCAGCTGGGCCTCCCAAAGCATGATACCGCCGATGTTGGGCAGGTTGAGAGCAGAGACGCCCTGGTAAGCAGAGAGGAGGGTGCTGGAGGAGACGAAACCCTGGTCACCGTCGGCACCGCTGGCCAGAGCACCAATGAAGAGAGTGGCGTTGCCAATGCTCTTGCTCCAGTTCTTGACGGCAGTGTTGAAGCCAGACTGGGCAATGTTGCAGTTGTCGTTGTTGTAGAACTGAACCCAGATGTAGTCGGCCAGCTGGCAGACGTTGAGGGGCTCCGAGGCATCGGGGAAGGGGCACTGGGGAGCAGCAGTCAGGTAGTACTTCTTGCTGGTGTCCTTGGCGAAGTTGGACTTGAAGCGCTGGGCCATGGCAAGGTAACCAGTGGGGTTGCCGGTCTCGTTGTCTATCATGGAAATACAATATTAGCAAACAGACAACTCGCAGATTGACACAGACACAGAACATGATTCTTTTCACTCACCGAGATCAACACCGTCCAGCTTGACGCTACCAAAGGGACGGAGGGTAGGGTTGGCGGTACCACCGAGGAACAGGTTCCAGACGGTATCGGCAATCTGCTGGCCCTGGGCATCACCAGTGAGGGTGACGGCAGAGAAGTCGACAGCACCACCCATGGAGAGGATGACCAGCTTGCCGGCGGCCTGGCAGGCCTGGATGGCGGGGACCAGAGAAGTGCCGTCCTGGAGGTTGGTGGCACCGGCGGACTTCTGGGCGGCGGAGGGGCCGCCGAGGGTGCTCAGGGAGAGCTCGGGGTAGCCACCGCCGGCGAAGAAGCGGCTGAGGAAGGCCAAGTTGACAATGTCGTATGAAGGGTCGGCGCAGACGTTGGCCAGAGTGGTGCTGTCATCCTCGGCACCCCAGTAGACGACGAGCTTGCCACCAGCAGCGCGCTTCTCGACGGTGGCGGTGGGAGCGGCGTAAGCAGCAGTGGCCAAAAGGCCGGCAGCAGCCAGTGCTTTGCTGAAGATCATGGTTGAGAGAGTGTGAGAGAGAGTATGTATATACAATCGGAAGGACAAAGATATGTACAAGAGACCGGTGGGAAGATTACCAGATCTTCACTGCTGCTGCTGCTGCTATTGATGAGTTATCCAGAGGGAAACTTGCTTCTTCCATAAACGGCCGGAGCTGCCATCTCTATTTATCTTTTCCCAACGTCCAATACATCCAATATAATTCCCAGGGTCGTCCTTGAAGCCGCCACAGCCAGTGGTGAAACAGCTGACTGTGTAAGCTCGGCCGAAACAGCAGAGTCCCGATATGGCAGTCAAGAAGACTTGGCCTAGTCGACAATCCGGAAGGTGGCTCCAGGGCCCGGCTTTGTCAGAGCCGGCTTGGCCTCGTCCGGCAAGTTTGAGGTGCCCCGGACGGCGATAATCCAGGGCGAAGACTTGTTAGCGTACCGGCCTAGACGACACCATGCCATCCTGGGGCACAAGCGTTTAGATGGCGGATGGATCCTTTCACCAGATATGATATCCGATGGAAGAACATGTTTCCTTCGGACAACGTTACATGATGAATCGTGAGGGCTTCATATACGAGCATACGAGCCCTCATGCAGATATCGGCCAGGCCAGAGAGAAAGCAGATGCCCAACTGGGACACGCCACAGCACCCAATGAAGGAAAGACGGCGGGGGTTCTCGCGATAACCTCAATTCCAGCGGCGCCTCGAACGCCCAAACGTGCAAGCGACCGACCGAGGGTCCGCCGTATGGGGCTGGTGACAGAAAGTACGAGTCCAGTCCAGTCTCATCACGGCGGCTACCTCTAATGGCGGAGAAAGAGAGGGTTCCATTCCGTCTCTTCCAGCTGCAAGTTTAAACACCAGACGGTAGCTGTCATGCCAGGGCAGCCTTACGGAGGGCAAATGGGAGTTGCTGGTACCTGAACTGTGTTAGTGAAAGCCTTTCTTGTGAGACGCTTATCTGGCCTTGTAAGGCCCCTCGGCAATGAATGGTGGGAACGACTCCAGCCAGATTTGGCAGGTCACTAAGAACAGCTTGAGATTGAAGCCCACGTTGGGGGTCGTCAGCACCGAAGTGCAGCCGGTTCTGAGGCTCGTCGTATTTTCGTCTGGGCCGATTGATTTCAACTTTCCTAAAGAGTTTAAGAAGTTTAAAATGCCCATGTGCCGCCGTGTTAATGTTAATGTAGAAGCTCGTTTTAGCCGCGTTACATCCGATCCGTGGAAATCATCATGGATGCCACGGAACGATTGCGTCGCATCGTGCCAAGGCCGGCCATTAGTGGGAATGGATTTTTCCGTCTTGACAGATGAAATGCTGGCTCAAGGCAAAATTAATTTGCACATGGCGATGCTAGCCCAAACTCTTGCGGCTGGGCCGTGATGTTGAAACAGGAACACGCCAAACAAGGTTAGAAATAAAGCACGCCGCAGCCAATGGAGAAAGTCACTTGGGCGATGCAGAGTCTTGTGGGGGTCGCTAAATTGGGCCAGGGGATCGCAAGAGGAACCGTCCCGTGAATTGGTTTGAATGTCTGCTATTACTCCGTTCGTGGGCCGTCATGCTCAGAGAATTCCGCATTGACGCGGCATGATCCCAGTCCCCTTGTTCATCTTCCTGCGGGCTCTTCCTGCGGGCTCTGGAGTTCAGGCGCGCACCACCTTCTATATGCGGCGGGCCTTGCTTTCACGATGCTATTATAATCAAGCCTTGTCTGAGGCGAGTCTGGATACGAGAAACGACTCGACGTCATCAAACTCTTGGATGCAGGCAGAGTGCTGCATACCCCTGTGGTTGATTTTACGTCAGCAAAAGAGATTATACACGACATGACATGATTTCAGATGGCAACACCATCTTTTAGACATGTGGTAGTTGCAGAAGTTGCAGAGAAAGGAAAGTCAAAAGGGCATTATGGGGTGATGCTCACTCATATGTTTCCAGCTTCACGTCAAAGCCAAGTTCCTTGAGCTTTTGCTCGGTGGCCAATCCCCACTCATAAAGAACCAACTGGTCGATGTCTCCATGTCCCATGAAGATTGGGGTTTCCTTGTTCGGGTTTGACTCTGGGATGAACTCCTTGAATTTGTGATGAAGAAGCATCCAGGAGGACAAGCCGACAATGCCACCAAGCTTGAAGGGAGCCGTCAAGCCAGAGAAGATGCTCATGGCACCGCCTTGAGAAAAGCCACCAAGCACAATGCGTTCAGACGAGATGCCCTCTGAAACCTCTTGCTGGATGAGAGAGTACAGGTAGGCGCGAGACTCGAGAATACCAGCCTCGTCCTCATCGCGAGCTTTGGCATCCAGGGTTCTGCCGGATGCGCCACCGAGAGTTCTCTGTTACACGAGCAGGAGTTAGATTGAATCACAAGTGCACAGGGGAAACAAAGGTAAAGAGAGAGAGTCGTACGACGTCGAACCAAGCAGGCATGGGGTAGCCTTGATTCTATATTTGATACCCAGCATCAGCCCATAGTGCTCCAAGAGTCTATATCGATTTACCAACTAACCATTGTGATGGGCATGATGCGAGCATTTGGCAGCACAAACTTGACCTCGTCCAGCCGGTGCTTCCTCTGCCACATCTGCACGGCATCGGCCCAGCCGCTGCCGCTGTCACCCAGCCCGTGGATGAAAATCACAGTGGCCGTATGCCGACCCAAGGCGGGAAACACCAGCGGAGCAGCCCGACGCAGCGAAGCCATAGTGTCGTCGAGGATGTTGGTTGCCGCCTCTGTTTGAGTCTGTGTCTGTGTCTTTTGCGGCTCTGGCCTTGGCTTCAGCTCTGACAAGCCCGTAAACGAAAAAGAGTCCAGGCCCAGAAACGACGGGGAAATGGCCAATGCAATCGCTATCAAGGCTGCAAGAGTGACGCCCGAAACGACGATGCGGCTGAGGCTGAAGCTGAGCATGAGGTAAAATTAGAAGGACGGCGAAGCGGCTTCGGGGTGGAGAAGCAGTTGAGGCCTCGATTCTTTTGGCATGTCGGGTCCGGGGACTGTGATTGGCCGCTGCAGTGGCAAGGAGCCCCCTGGACGATTAGCGGCTTGTCCACTGTGAGGCCCCTGTATTTGCCTTGACTGAAGCGGCAGGAAGAATTGAGCCTTGTAAGACGGATCGCAAGAGGATCAAGTAAGACGGAGAATAAAGAGAGAAGCAGAAGAAGGCAGTTAGGAATGACAAATGCTTAATATCGCCAGAGTGAAAATACGAACATTAAGCATGCAATAGGGCTTTATACATGGTTAAACACAAGAGATGTCCATGTACATGTAGGGTAAGCGAAGAACAAAAACACCAAACATTGAATGCAGTCCATCTTGTATCTTCCGGTCCAAGACGTAGCAGTCAAGATCGGACAGATCTGCCAAGAAGCCAAGCTTCAATCGATCAATCTAGATACCCATACAGCTAGAAGGCTCATGTAGCATCGCAGGAATAAGTGCATGTGTTTTATAATCATTTCTTTATTTTCATCTCATCACAATTACTCATCCATCCACCCATCTTTTCCCTGCCGTCCAATCTTATATCGACCACGTCCTGACTGAATAGACCCATGAGAGTCAATTCTCTGTTTAACTACATCTTCACTTAACCGCTGCTGACGGACCCCTTCAAGCATCGCCTGTGTCTTCAGCGGCCCATCTCGCTCCAACACTGGCTCCAGACCGATCATCGTCACTGACTTACCCGAGACAGCAGTATGTTGGATAGACTGAATCTTAAACTTGGTGCCCGGAGCAGTGGTATATTCCATTTTGGCAGGATCGTCAGATAGCGGCGTGACAAACGATACACTGTCCCACACCGAGGCACCGGACGGCGGATTCAACACCAGCACGATTCCATTAGAATAGTGCATTGCCTCTTTCATGCTATCCGTAAAACTCCAGACCATCTTGGTTGTAATAGTCTTTCCAACAGCCATGTAACTAGCCAGGGCATCCGTCAGTGAATGTGTCAGCTCGATCCCAACAGGACCCTTGTTAAGCGGACACTCTTCAAACTCGATGCCAAACCGTTCTGTGCCAAGTTGTTCGATGTCAACCTGTCCACTGAATAGTCGTGGCTTCGAAGCGATCGAAGTCCGAGGCATCGACTGCATGGCGGCAACCAGAAAGCGGTTTTCGATTTCGCTAAAGTTGTACACCTGATCGATAACCTCTTCAAGCTGGGCAGTGAGGTTGTCAAACGAATGTGCGGGCTGCATCAAAAAGGTTCGCATATAGTCTGCATCCTGTGGCGTATATACAGAAAAGTTGCTCTGCCAAATGTTGACGGCGAGACTCTCACGATCCAGAGGATGAGGAAGCGCTGCGATCCCCGAGTCGATACCGGTGTACTGAAAGATTTTGAACAGCACCATGCGCGCAAATGACGCCGTTGTCCAGTCGTAAAGGGTCATGGCAAGCTCAAAGCTGTAGGGCGTAAAGGGAAAGTATCGTCTTCCTAGAGCCCGGATTTCTTGGATGGGCTTCTTTGGGGCATCCGGGATGTTCTGGTATGGTATGAACTTTTGCTCAATCATTTTATTGATGAAGGTTGCATCTTCGACAGAGATCTCAGGCAGGGGCTTGAGGCGGCCTGACACTTGTTTCGAAATGCTATAACAGGCTACACACATAGTCAAGGTGAGTTCATGGACATGCTTTGGCCACGGTTATTAAAGAATGTCTCTAACCTGTTATTATAGATGGAATGTCGACGGTGCTCAGGTTGAAGTTACCACCATCATCAATTCGAAGAGATAGTTTCAGCGGATATAGACTGTTTTGCAGCGACGGGCAAGCAAAACGGCTGCCATATCTCTCGTGCCTCTTCAACCATAAGGTTGCTCCATTGGCATCTAGAATCATCGAGTCTAATGAGCGCATCTCGGTGACATCCAGAAACCCCTGTCCGTCGACAATGAGGCGAGATGATACGCCATGACCGCCTCGCTGTGCCGCAATTGGATTCCCATCGCTGAACCAAAGTTGCGATGCTGCTAATATCCGAACAAGATGCCACATGTCAAACGATGTCACAAACAAAACCATGCACTTGTGGTTCCTTGAAAACTCCAGAGGCACTCAAGGAGACACTACGTTAGCACCTCTCTTCTGATACATGCATGCAGACCAAGAGCCCAATATCCGACTTATATCCTCTCTTCTCTCTTCCCTCATGTGCCCATCATCTCTCCTCGGGGTTAGAGTGTCTCAGTTGAGCACACGCGATATTGACTGAGCTGGCCATCACGTGGATACATGAATCTCAGCAAGACATTGGTTCCGTTCTGTCAACGGTTGCGAGTCGTGCAGCAGGCAACGTAGGTGCAGTTTAACCAGAGAATTCAGGTAGGACGAATAACGGATATCATTGACGTCTTGGTGCTCTGGTGCAAAACGGACATGGGTGCAGCGGAACGAACACGACAAGAAACTTGAAGGCTCAGTACAGCATCAACAACATGGCCAGCGGATGAACAACCTCGTCTCCCCATCGGCACAGCTGCTCACCGCCAAGGGCGTCTACCAGCGCCACTTACAGGGAAGAGTTTCTAGTTCCTGGTTATCAACTCATACTCGTATATAAGTGTTTTACTTGGCGTTGCATCGGCCGCCTGCTGTCTCTGGACGGCTGAAAGATATCACCGGAACTGAGCAAAACCCATGCAGCTAGCATCCCCAGATAAAGCAGGGCGAAATCCAGAAATTTGACAGAATGACGAGGAGATGGATATGCCACCCAGGTTTGATGCGGGACTGACGCGTCCTCTCCACGATCTCCACGACTAATACGGACAGGGGTCATTTCAGCTGGCAGCTTGCTGTGAGATCGTCAAGCGAGCATCAAAAACAGATGATGTGTGTTTAGTTAGTAAGCAATTACATGGGTGACAAGATGCCTGTAGATTTTCATCATGACTCTGATGACCAGCCAAATGCGAGCAGATTGGGTAGAAGCACCGGGTATGTGATCCATCATTAACGCATCTTCCCAGCCGGCTGTTTAACACTCGTGCGGAACACGGAACGTAAAGCCGAGACATTTGGCTTTCTTTCAACATTGCCCTGGTCTCTTTATAATGATACATGCTGACTTCTGACTGACATGCTGGGGAGGTAATCCCACAAAGATGATCCCAGCTGAGTTTTCTTCTTCTTCTTCTTCTTCTTCTTCTTCTTCTTCTTCTTCTTCTTCTTCTTCTTCTTCTTTTCAAGTTTCGCACTCTATTGAAACACAACCTAGTAGTATTAATTATAAGTATTGCTATTTTCACCGCAGTAGTCCGTACCAGTACTAAAATTAACGTACACACACCACCGATCCCATCAATCCACCCCAAATTACAGTGCGGCGCCCTGGCTCGCCATGTACTTTGCGACATCATACAAAGACCTTTATCACAAGTTTCGATATCGTGATGGATTCCTTCCCCGGTGACGATGCCGTCGATCCGCCGCTATCGTCAGAGCTATCATAACGCTGGCCGCAATAGCTGCCGCCGCCTTCGAGACCGAGCCCGAGCCCGAGCCCGAGCCCGAGCCTGAGACCCAATCTGAGGCTGAGGAAGTCATTAAAGTCATCCCGGCCACCTAGATCAAAGAGGACGAGCCGGATGAGCTATCCAGTCCGTAAGAGGTGTATTCGCGGCGTCTTGGTCGCTGACGTGCACTTTTTCACGCTACGAGTCCCCATTGCGCGTGCTAGCAGCTTCGTATTTCTCGTGAATTACACATCGAACCAAGTATTTATTCCCAACTTTGCTTTCTTAAACCACCACCCCAATCTGTCTTTTCCTTCATAAAATAAGTCAATTGAAGTTCTGCTAGTATATAATATTTTCAAAAAGCAACAACGGCATCATGGAAAACATCAACATCATTCCATTCTCCCCCTCCCAACACACCCATCTAATCCCCGCCATCATCCAAATGCACATTGATTGCATCCAGTCCGACGGCGCTCTCCTACGCTTCCACCCACCCTTCACTCCCGCAAAAGTTCAAAAGATGGAAACTTTCTGGAACGAACGCTTCTCTCAGATCCCTACCGGCCGTCGCATCACCTTGATTGCTCTGGTATCATCAGACGGCAAAGACCAGGGTGATATTGCCGGCATCATAGAGCTAGGCATGCCAGAAGCAGACACAGGCCCTTTCCGAGGCGACGTCGAGATGCTGATGGTGTCGCCAAACTATCGACGCAGAGGCATAGCTAATAAACTACTCAAAGAACTGGAAGAAATCGCAAAAGAAAAGAAAAGGACGTTGCTGGTGAGTTGCGAAGACGTGCATTTTTGCAAGTTGAGTACTATTACCGGGACTAACATACACACGTAGCAACTAGGGACAGATGTTGGCTCCACGGCGGAAAAATATGTATATCCTCGCTTAGGTTATGTTCTTGTATGACCTTCTCTGCAGATTTTTGATCCTTTGATTGTGATCGACTTGCTTACCCGTGCGTTTACAGATGGGAATAATCCCCAACTATGGCATCTCGCCTCGGGACGGGTCACTGAAAGACGGTGCTTTCTTCTACAAACAGCTGGCGCCCATTTGCTAATTAGATGATGTATGGTTATGATCTTACATAGATTTGATGGTTGTACTTTTACATAGATTTCAATTCTGAGAAAGCCCACCTGTAAACGACATCAACTAATCTTGTGAATAACATCATGCGTGCTACTACACCACTGTGTCAGAGTGCA